GCAGTGCTCTCTTTTGAATGTTTCTGCTTCTAGATGGTGGAAAGTCTAAAAGAAGTACAGTGGATTCAAAGGTAAGACCTAACCACCCTTTTGTGCTCAGCTTTCCTGGATATGTGTGTACATGTGTGTGTTGTGTGCATGTGTGTGTGTGTATTGATATATATACATGCACGCATGCACAAACACATACATAAACAGTCGTCCCTTGGTGTCCACAGGGGATTGGTTACAGGAACCCTAGTGAATATCAAAATCAGTGGATGTTCACGTCTCTTATATAAAATGGCATAGTATTTACACATAACCTACACACATCCTCCTGTGTACTTCAAATCATCTCTGGAGTACTCGTGATACCTAACACAATGTAAACGCTGTGTAAATAGTTGTGACACTGTGTTGGTTTTTTATTTGTGTTATTTACTACTATTACTTTTTAATCTTACTGTAAAAAATACTTTTGGTTGGCATTTGGTTCAATCTGCAGATGTAGAACCTGCAATACAGAGATCTTACATATATATGTGTGTGTGTATATATATGTGTGTATATATGTGTATATGTATGTATATATGTGTGTATATGTATGTATATGTGTATATATGTATATATACACACACACACACGTCTCATCTACAGGGGCCAGATGTAGTGGTTCATGCCGTAATCCCAGCACATTGGGAGGCTGAGGTCAGGGGATCACAGCACTTTGGGAGGCTGAGGTCAGGAGTTCGAGACCAGCCTGGCCAACATGGTGAAACCCTGTCTCTACTAAAAATACAAAAATTAGCTGGGCTTGGTGGTGCATTCTTGTAATCCCAGCTACTTGGGAGACTGAGGAAGGAGAATCACTTGAACCTGGGAGGCAGAGGCTGCAGTGAGCCAAGATCACGCTACTGCACTTCAGCCTAGGTGACAGAGTGAGACTGTCTCAAAAAAAGTTTAAAAAAATAAAAACAAAAAAAAATCTACAGGGAATTGTCTCCCATTTTAGGGGAAAGCATTGACATACTGAAACAATTTTAAAGGAAAATTGATTCCTGGCTAGGCATGGTGGCTTGTGCCTGTAATCCCAGCACTTTGGGAGGCTGAGGTGGGTGGATTGATTGAGCCCGGGAGTTCAAGACCACCCTGGGTTACATGACGAAACCTTGTCTCTACAAAAAAATAGAGAATTAGTGGGTGTGGTGGTATGCGCCTGTGAACCCAGCTGCTCTGGAGGCTGAGGTGGAAGGATCACCTGAACCTGGGAGGCTGAGGCTACAGTGAGCTATGATTGTGTGACTTCACCCTACTAGCCTGGGTGACAGAGTGAGACCCTGTCTCAAAAAAAAAAAAAAAAAAAAGAAAAGAAAAGAAAAGGAGGAAGGAAGGAGAAAATTGATTTCTAAGTTGCATATCTCTTACATGATATAGGATGAGGTAGTTAGGGAAGGAAGATACCAAACCATCAGAAAAGCCCTCTGGTAGGAACTGTCACCGGGGCTGAGTTTGGAGTTTGTTCAGGGAAGAGGAAGACAAGCAAGGGGAGGAAGAATGCCATACACAAAGACTGGATGATGACAGATGCTGAACACTGGCTCGTTTGAAGTGAAACACACAGATTTGGGAGCAGAGAGAGATCTTAGATAATATAGGGCCAGGCAATAGAAGGAATTGATGGGCAGGCAATGGGAAGTCATCCTGAGTTCCTGATTGGGAAAGACTGTGTTTATTAAAGATCGTAATTCTGGAAGTGATGTGAAGGGTAGCCTTGGGGAAGGAGAAAGGGTTGTTCGAAGGACCAGGAAGGACACGGTTGTGAGAATACCGTGTTTCGGTTGTTTCGGGTGATGAGGATGTGGACTAGAGCAGAGCCTTGGACGGTAAATGACTGGGAAGCCAGTTAGGGTGATGGGAGGGAAAGAGAGGAGCAGAGGAGTGGGTGATAGAAATAGCAGAAGTGGAAAAACTGGGAAAGTTTTGGTTTGTGATATCTTGATTTCTCCTTGAGGGGGACATCTAAATGGTGATGTTTTATCTTAACTTTGTTGAAGTATAATTGACCTAAAATAAACTGTACATATGTAAAGCAGCAATCTGGTAACTCTGACTTATCAATCAAGATAGTGAAATATCCATCACCCCAAAAATTTCTTCTGCCTTTTTGTAAGCCCCCTGTCCCCAAGCAATCACTGATCTGTCACTATAGTATAGATTAGATTTATAGAACTTTATATAACTGAATTATGCAGCACTCTTTTCTGTCTTATATTCAGCATAATTACTTTGAGTTCATCCACATTGTTGCATGTATCATTTCTTTTCATTACTCAGTTTTACTGTATATATGGCAATATTTTGGTTTCGTTTCTTTTCTTTTTTTTTTTTTGCTTTGGGGAATGGAGTCTCGCTCTACCACCCAGGCTGGAGTGCAGTGGCACAGTCTCATCCTCTGCCTCCCAGGTTCAAGCAATTCTCCTGCTTCAGCCTCCTGAGTAGCTGGGATTATAGACATGTATCACCATGCCTGGCTGATTTTTGTATTTTTAGTAGAGATGGGATTTCACCTTGTTGGCCAGGCTAGTCTTGAACTCCTGACCTCAAGTGATCTGCCCATCTCGGCCTCCCAGCGTGTTGGGATTACAGGCTTGAGCCACTGCGCCTGGCCAATATTTTGATCATTTGATGTCAGGAGTGGAATTCAGGGGATGTGACAGGGCATGGCCTGGGTCAGCACCCTTAGTCTGGCTGAAGCTTCAAGGGTAGACACGCTGTCTAGCCGAAAGATTCAAGGCAGGGGGCAGAGGTAGGGGTTAGTGCAGAGGCAGAAGAAACAGGTGAAGAACAACTGCCATTCTCTGTGAAAGCAGATTTCAGACATCTTGAAAGGATAGTCATTTTTATTTTCAGAGAGCTTTTGAAGGTCGGCAAATTTAGAGTTTAAGAAACATGTTTTGTTTTGTTTAATAAATTACTTTTAATTAGCACACTTTCTATGCCAGTGCTATCCTAAAACATACTGTTATGTCTTTTTAGGCCATGGGAGAGAAATCCTTTTCTGTTCATAATAATGGTGGGGCAGTGTCATTTCAGGTATGTATGCTCTTTGTGTAAAGCCTCCTAGAATTTCTCTCTACCATGTAAAAGGGTAATTTTTTTTTAGAGGAATTTTGAATTTAGGAATAACAACTTAGGTATGCCCTGTATCAGTCACTTAAATGTAATAGCTGTCTCTTTAACAAACCCACAAGGTGGATATTGTTACCCATCTACTTATCAAATCGTGAGTCTCTGAGAGTGAATAACTTTGTGACTATCTATTGTAGGTGATGAGGTACAGTTTCCAACCCAGTCCTACTTGGCTGTTCCCATGACCCCTTTGCCCTGACCCCATGCTACCTCCCATTCAAAGTGTGCCAGAAGCATAGTACCCCATGCCTGAAAGGACCATTGGTGACGATTTATGGTGATGTTGTAATTTTAGAGATGATTTCACCCAGACTCAGAGGCTTTGAGTGACCTGCTCAACTGTCACAGTTATTAATTGCCCATGAGTGTTTAGGGGCAGCAGAATAGCATATGTATGGGAACAAGATATTGGACTGGGCCTCAAAACCCACTTACTAGTTGGGTGATACTGGACAACTCACTTCATTTCTTTTTGTTTTGTTTTTGAGACAAGGTCTCACTCTGTTGCCCAGGCTGGAGTGCAATGGTATAATCACGGCTCACTGCAGCCTCAACCGTCCAGGCTCAAGTGATCCTCCTGCCTCAGCCTCCCAAGTAGCTGAGACTACAGGCATAAACCACCATGCCTGGCTAATTTTTAAATTTTTTGTAGAGATGAGGTCTTGCTCTGTTGCCCAGGCTGGTCTCAAACTCCTAGGATCAAGCAGTCCTCTTGCCTGGGCCTCCCACAGTGCCGAGATTACAGATGTGAGCCACCTTGCCTGGTCTCACTTACTTTCTGAACCTCACTGTTAATCATCTAAAAATGAAAAATGGCAGGGCGTGGTGGCTCACGCCTGTTTTCCCAGCACTTTGGGAGACTAAGGTAGGTGGATTGCTTGAGCCCAGGAGTTTTGAGACCAGCCTGGGCAACATGGTGAAACCTCATCTCTACAAAAAATGCAAAAATTAGCCAGGCATGGTGGTAGATGCTTATAGTCCCAGCTACTAGGGAGGCTGAGGTGGGAGGATCACTTGAGCCCAGGAGTTAAAGACTCCTTGGAAATATGGTGAAACTTCATCTCTTAAAAAAAAATACAAAAATTAGCCAGGTGTAGTGGCATGTGCCTGTAGTCCCAGCTACTAGGGAGGCTGAGGGAGGAGGATTACTTGAGCCTGGGAGGTCTAGGTCACACAGTGAACCTCGAGCATGCCACTGCACTGTAGCCTGGGTGACAGCGTGAGACCCTGTCTCAAAAAAAACAAAAACAAAAACAAAATGCATACAGTGAAATGCACAGGTCTTAAGTGTAGAGTTTGTTCAGTTCTGACAAATGCGTATATACCTATGGAATTCACTGTCTCAAGATTTGTGTGTTTCCATCTTCTGAGAAACCCCTCTATCCCCACAAGTACTGTTCTGATTTCTTTTTCCATACATCATTTTGCCTGTTCAACAATTTTTGTATGTTCTTTAAGCTTAGTAACCATCATTTTCGTCGCTATCCATATTAATAGCTAACAGTTATTGAGAACTTGCAGGATGCTCGTTTGCTCAGAACCCTCCAGCAGCTTTCCATCTGTCTTGGAGTAAAGCCCAGGTCTTCCCACTGGTCTGCAAGGCCCATGTGGTCTAGCCTCTGTTGTCTCTCTGACCTCAGCTCCTGTTATTCACACTGTTCTCTCACAAGCCGCCTTGCTCTTTCTCAGACAGACTAGGCTTTAGGCTCTGCTCTCGCTGTTCCCACAGGCAGGAATGCTGTCTCTCAGAATTCCCAAGTCTTTGCTGAAATGTCACCTTCTCAACAAAGCTTCTCTTGATTGCAGCTCACTCCTATTTCCCTCATTGTGCTCTGTCTTTCCTTAGCATTATCCCTTCCAACGTGCTATATACTGTACTTAGTTATGTTTATTGCCTGTCTCCCCCTCTGCAGAAGGTACCTTAAGGGCAGGGGTTTTCTCTCTCTTATTATTGATGTACATGAAACTCCTAATGTTGGCCTTGGCCTTGGCCTATATTTATAGAGACTAATAAACCAATGTCAGGCATTGTGCTAAGTGCTTCTATGTCATTATCTCAGTTAATCCTCTCAACAACTCTGTGAAGTCAATATTAATTTTTTCTTGTACTGATGAGGAACTGAGGCTCAGAGAGGTGATGTAACTTGCCCCAAGCAGGGGATTCAGGTCCACGTTTGTTTGAATCCAAGGCCCATGTGTTTAATCACTTTGCCTTTTACTGCCTCCTTGAGAAAATACAAAAGTTACTTTTCTCTCTTCCTTCTCTCACTTTAGAATGCTTATTAATAAAATGAGTTTTTAAAACGTTTTTCAGGCCGGGCATGGTGGCTCATGCCTGTAATCCCAGCACTTTGGGATCATGAGGTCAGTAGTTTGAGACCAGCCTGGCCAACACAGTGAAACCCCGTCTCTACTAAAAATAAATACATACATACATACATACATACATACATACATACATACAAAAAATTAGCTGGGTGGTGGTGGTGGGCGCCCGTAATCCCAGCTACTTGGGAGGCTGAGGCAGGAGAATCGCTTGAACCTGGGAGGTAGAGGTTGCAGTGAGCCGAGATCGTGCCACTGCATTCCAGCCCAGGCGACAGTCCGAGACTCCATCTCAAGACAAAACAACAAAAGTTTTTCAAATGCTCCCCCCTTTTTTAATCACAAAGGAAAGTGTTACAGGATGCACACGTATGTCCGGCACCAGTGCTTTGTGTCGGGCGAGCATCCAAGCACAGCAGTCTGCATGGTGATTAGCAGCTCGTGCTGAAACAGCCTGTCCGCAGGGTTCTTGGGATGCGTGGAGCAGGCAGTGCATGGGTACTTTGCTTTTCTCCGGCTTTCCCTACCTTGGAAAGAAGTCATCATGATTTCTCGCTGTTCTACCCAGTGTCTCCCGGTCTTGGATGGTGCAGTCCACTCTGAGCTCTTCTGCTTCATTCATGGCATGGGGAGAGTGGTTTATCTACCTAAATACAGAAGGGGACTCTCAGGGCTTATTCCAACCCTACAGTTGACATTTTTGTTTTGTTTTTGTCTCTAAGGGTCAGGTGCCTACTCTGATCAACCATGGTGATTCTATTGATTTTTTAAAATTATATCTTTTAAACTTTTATATCTTTTTTAGGCTTCCCCTGAATCTAAAAATAGAGGTTGTCCATGGTTTAGAAAGGTTTTCTTATTGTGGCTGTAGCTCAGGGGATTAAAATACGCATTCACAATTGAGTTTGGCACATGGTTTAACAGATTAATAATTCCAGCTCATGTGTTCTTGGTCTTTTATTTTTATTTTTGCCAGATGTCTTTTTTTTCCCCATTTTTTAAAGTTGTGAGGTACACTATACATGCAGAAGAGTGTAAAGTACTTATATTGAGTTTAACATGTAACTATGAACTGTCACCTTTATGATCCAGCACCCAGGACAAGAAATAGAGCAGTTCCAGCCCCTGAGAAACCTTATGTCTCCCTCGCAGTCCTTCCCAACTCTAGAGTAGCCCCTGTCATGAAAAATGCTACCATAGTCACTTCCTAGCTTTTCTTTGTAGTTTAATGGTTATATATATGTAGCCCTAAAAATGTATTTCAGGGATATTTCTTTTTATTGGTAGAACTCATGGCTGAAGTAAAATTTTCTTAGGCTTGACCAAGAAGTCATATTCTCTAAGTCTGTCTGTCTGTCTTTTGGTTTACATTAAACTTCATTTAAACTCATGAAATGTATGAAAAACAGAAAACTGTCTAAATCTACAAAATGTAGCCTTCATTATTGTTCTCTAAAACCATAGTTGTAAATTTTGATGAGGAAATATTGATTGGTTTTCAAGTATAAGATGAGCCTCCTTTTTAAAGAGTATTTTATACCTATAAAGAGCAAAATAATGCGTTAGCTTGAAGACGAGATAACTACATCCTAGGTTATCTTTGAAGACTTCTGCAAAGACCATCACAAATGGCTAGATCTGTGATAGAACAGGCATAGTAAAATGTTCATTGTAGAAGCGAGGTTGTGGCTATGTAGCTTTCACTATACAATTGTCAGCTGTTCTGTATACTTGAAAACTGTTGTAACAAAATATTGGAAGGGAATCACAGAATAAGAAAATATCTCTTTAAACTCTGCCATGGGAGAGTCGATAATTTAAGCAGTCTGTCTTTATTTCCTTCCTTCCATTAATATTCATAATTTATTTCTAAGGTTTAAAAATATAGCTGAGTAGAATTTGAAGAAAAAAGTAAACAACACTTTAAAAGAAAAAATAAAAAAAAATATATATATATATATATATACACACACAGCTGAGGATTTGGGTACCTTTAAATGTTTTCTTCTTCACTTTCAGTTTTTCTTTAACATCAGCACTGATGACCAAGAAGGCCTTTACAGTCTTTATTTTCACAAATGCCTTGGAAAAGAATTGCCAAGTGACAAGTTTTCATTCAGCCTTGATGTGAGTACTGTTTGGAGACTGTTCTACGTGGATTTTGTCAGCATAAAATGCAAGATTTATTTCTCTTTAAGGTTAGATTTTAAGAACACTTAAGAATGTGGACAGACACACATCCTTGCCACTGTGCGGGATACTTCAGTAGAGGATTCATAGGAAAATACACAGCAATTAGGATGTGTCTGCACTTCAACCTGTGCATTAAGAATGTGGTTGTTTTGGCCAGGCATGGTGGCTCATGCCTGTAATCCCAGCACTTTGGGAGGCTGAAGTGGGCAGATCACCTGAGTCCAAGAGTTTGAGACCAGCGTGGGCAACATGGCAAAACCCTCTCTCTACAAAAAATATGAAAAATTAGCCAGGCGTGGTGGTGCACACCTCTAGTCCCAGCTACTCAGGAGGATGAGGTGGGAGGCTCTCTTGAGCCCAGGAGGCAGAAGTTACAGTAAACCGAGATTGCATCACTGCATTCCAGCCTGGGCAAAAGGGTGCGATCCTGTCTCAAATTAAAAAAAAAAAAAAAGGGGGGGTTGTTTGCTGGTACTCATTTTTTTTTTTTTTTTTTTTGAGATGGAGTTTCATTCTTGTTGCCCAGGCTGGAGTGCAATGGCATGATCTTGCCTCACCGCAACCTCCACCTCCTGGGTTCAAGCGATTCTCCTTCCTCAGCCTCCCGAGTAGCCGGGATTACAGGCGCCTGTCACAATGCCTGGCTAATTTTTTTTCTTTTCAAGACAGAGTCTTGCTCTGTCACCCAGGTTAGAGTGCAGTGGTACAATCTTGGCTCACTGCAACCTCCGCTTCCTGGGTTCAAGCGATTGTCCTTTCTCAGCCTCCCAAGTAGCTGGCGTGCCACCACACCCAGCTAATTTTTGTATTTTTAGTAGAGACGGGGCTTCACCATGTTGGCTAGGCTGGTCTTGAACTCCTAACCTTGTGATCCGTCTGCCTTGCCTCCCAAAGTGCTGGGATTACAGGCGTGAGCCACTATGCCCAGCCTTAATTTTTTTTGTATTTTTAATAGAGACGGGGTTTCACCATGTTGGCCAGGCTGGTGGTGAACTCCTGATCTCAGGTGATCCTGATCCACCTGCCTCAGCCTCCCAGAGTGGTGAGATTACGGGCGTAAGCCACCATGCCCAGCCGCTGGTACTTACTTTCTTAGGCTTAAGTGAAACAGCTGAGATTCCAAATTGCTGAATAAGGGATGATATGTACCTGAAAAGTAAAAATTAATTTCATGCTGGTTTCAGATTGAGATCACAGAGAAGAATCCTGACAGCTACCTCTCAGCAGGAGAAATTCCTCTCCCCAAATTATACATCTCAATGGCCTTTTTCTTCTTTCTTTCTGGGACCATCTGGATTCATATCCTTCGAAAACGACGGTAAACTATTACTTCCTTGAGCGCTTCAACTTAAGAGTGTGTTGAGATTTGAATAATTTCACTGTTTGCTAGCTTCTGAACCTGGAGGCAGTTGGTGCTAAGCAGTGTTGTTCCTTTCAAAGGGCATCTACCCGGAAACAGTATGAAGATTGTGTGGTAGCATTGTGGTGTGGGAGCCCTTTGCATGCCTGCCTTGGTGTCTGTTCACTTCCTGTTGTTCTGTTTAAAAAGTAAATCTAAATTTTTTTTTTTTTTTTGGAGACATAGTCTCGCTCTGTCTCCCAGGCTGGAGTGCAATGGCATGATCTCAGCTCACTGCAAACTCTACCTCCCGGGTTCATGCCATTCTCCCACCTAAGCATCCCGAGTAGCTGGGACTACAGGCGCCTGCCACCATGCCCGGCTAATTTTGTTTTTGTCTTTTTAGTAGAGGTGGGGTTTCACCGTGTTAGCCAGGATGGTCTCGATCTCCTGATCTCATGATCTGCACACCTGGGCCTCCCAAAGTCTTGGGATTACAAGCATGAACCACCATGCACGGCCCTAAATATTTTTGATAGTATGCAAGCAGAACAGACTGTATGAGCTAAGTGTTTCCATGGTGGAGATCCCACAGTCCAGGACTGAGAGTAAACACATGGGTCTCATTCAGGGACTGTTGCTTCTGGAGAGGAAGTTAGTGACGATGAGCACTGCCTGGCGAGAGCATGGAGTTACTGCTTAGAACTGAAGGTCTTGGCTGAAAGCTGCGCTGGGATAGATTCTCTGCATTGACTTCCAGATGCTTGTCACTGGACAAAACCTCTTCAAAGCCCATCTGCCTGGGTTTTAGCCTTTTTTTCTGAAACCCCTGAGGCTTTAACTTCCTGTACTTGGTTCTTGAGGGGAGCAGCTGCATGTGCGTGAATTCTTTCTCCCTCCAAGACAATTGAAAACAAAATATTCACTTAGGGAATTGTGTAAAGTGTTTATTATAATGCTCATAAACTGAGTAAATGGTGTAAAGTGTTTATTATAATGCTCATAAACTGAGTAAATGATGGTATCCGAATATGCTATTATAATATGGATTGATTTAAATTCGTAGAATAATTAAACACCCTGAAATACCTCTTTCTCTGGAGCACTGGGGTGGAAATGGAGACTTCTTTAGTCCCTGCTAGCTTGATTGTCTTCTAATGAACATGCTCAGAGTCTGGTATATTAGACTCTGGCTGGGTTCACTTGCTGATACCCATTTGTTATGATATCCTGTACACCCACCAGATAGAAAGAGTTTCTTGTTTACTTGGGAAGGACCTATATAATCATGTTTGGACTAGATTTTCAAGGAGCAGTTACTAAGAAAGAATCCTATGGGCTGGGCGTGGTGGCTCACACCTGTAATCCCAGTGCTTTGGGAAGCCAAGGCAGGAGGATCACTTGAGTCTGTGAGTTTGAGACCAGCTTGGGCAACATAGCAAGACCCCCCCCTTTTTTTTTTTTTTTTCCGAGATGGAGTCTCACTCTCTCCTCTAGCCCCCAGGCTGGAGTGCAGTGCCTAATCTCAACTCACTGCAATCTCCACCTCTGGGTTCAAGTAATTATTGAGCTTCAGCCTCCAAAGTAGGTGGGATTACAGGCATGTGCCAACACACTCAGCTGACTGTTATATTTTTAGTAGAGATGGGGTTTCACCATGTTGACCAGGCTGGTCTTGAACTGCTGACCTCGGGTAATTCACCTTGCTCGGTCTCCCAAAGTGCTAGGATTATAGGCATGAGCTACCACACCTGGCCCAGCAAGACCCCATTTCTACAAACAAATTTAAAAATTATCCAGTCGTGGACTGGGAGCGGTGGCTAATGCCTGTAATCCCAGCACTTTGGGAGGCCGAGGTGGGCGGATCATGAGGTCAGGAGATTGAGACCATACTGGCTAACACAGTGAAACCCCGTCTCTATTAAAAATACAAAAAATTAGCTGGGCATGGTGGTGGGTGCCTATAGTCCCAGCTACTCAGGAGGCTGAGGCAGGAGAATGGTGTGAACCCAGGAGGTGGAGCTTGCAGTGAGCTGAGACTGTGCCACTGCATAAAATAAAAAAATAATAAAAAGTTATCCAGTTGGCTGGGCGCTGTGGCTCACGCCTGTAATCCCAGCACTTGGGAGGCCGAGGCGGGTGGATCCCGAGGTCAGGAGATCGAGACCATCCTGGCTAATACAGTGAAACCCCGTCTCTACTAAAAATGCAAAAAATTAGCCGGGCGTGGCAGCGGGCGCCTGTAGTCCCAGCTACTTGGGAGGCTGAGGCGGGAGAATGGCGTGAACTTGGGAGGCGGAGCTTGCAGTGATCTGAGATCATGCCACTGCACTGCAGCCTGGGCAACTGAGTGAGACTCTGTCTCAAAAAAAAAAGAAAAAGTTATCCAGTTATGGTGGTGCACACCTGTAGTGCTCACTACTTGGGAGGCTGAGGTGGGAGGATTGCTTGAGCCCAAGGGTTGGAGGCTGCAGTGAGCTATGTTTGTACCACTGCATTCCAGCTTGGGACACAGAGTAAGACTCTGTCTCTAAGAAAGAAAGAGAGAGACGCAGATGGAAGGAGGGAAGGTTATAAAACTTTAGGCCATAAAAGTTTTTGGGTGTGTTTTGTTTTGTTTTGTTTTGTTTTTGAGACACAGTCTTGACTGTCGCCCAGGCTGGAGTACAGTGGCGAGATCTCAGCTCACCGCAACCTCAGTCCCCCAGGTTCAAGCAATTCTCTTGCCTCAACCTCCCAAGTAGCTGGGATTACAGGTGCCCGCCACCATGCATGGCTAATTTTTGCATTTTTAGTAGAGACAGGGTTTTGCCATGTTGACCAGGCTGGTCTTGAACTCCTGACCTCAGGTGATCCACCTGCCTTGGCCTCCAAAAGTGCTGGGATTATAGGCGTGAGCCACTGCGCCCGACCTCAGTTTTTTGTTTTTTTTTTTTTTTAAAGAAAGTTCTACTTTTTTGCCTTTACTGGAAAAGTAAGAACTAGGAGTCAGACCTGATTTCAGGTGTGAACTTGGACAGTGACTGCCTGTGTGCCTTGCTTCACTCTAAATCTGTTTTTTCTTGGCTATGAAACTGGGACAGTAATAGTTAATTACTCTGCCTTCCTGTAAGAGTCTTGGATTCTTAGACTTGTTCTGTGATTTCCCCTAAGATAATGTATATGAAAGGGCTTTCCAAATCAGGGTGCCATCCAAATATGAGGAATTTTTTTTTTTTTTTTTTTTTGAGACAGAGTCTTGCTCTGTTGCCCAGGCTGGAGTGCAGTGGCCGGATCTCAGCTCACTGCAAGTTCCGCCTCCCGGGTTTACGCCATTCTCCTGCCTCAGCCTCCTGAGTAGCTGGGACTACAGGCGCCCACCACCTCACCCGGCTAGTTTTTTGTATTTTTTAGTAGAGATGGGGTTTCACAGTGTTAGCCAGGATGGTCTTGATCTCCTGACCTTGTGATCCGCCCATCTCGGCCTCCCCAAATATGAGGTATTTATAAAACAGTTTAGTAGCCAGGGATTCAGTGGTGGTTTAATTTCCTTTAGTTATTGGTGGCAATAGTCATTGTCACTGGTTCAATTATACCAAATTGTGGTAACAGTTTTATTTTTTATTTTATTTTTTTTGAAACAGAGTCATGCTCTGTCACCAGGCTGGAGTGCAGTGGCGCAGTCTTGGCTCACTGCAACCTCTGCCTTCCAGGTTCAGGTGATTCTCCTGTCTCAGCCTCCCAAGTAGCTGGGACTACAGGCGTCTGCCACCATGCCCGGCTAATTTTTGTGTTTTTAGTAGAGACAGGGTTTCACCATGTTGACCAGGATGGTCTTGATCTCCTTACCTCGTGATCCACCTGCCTCAACCTCCCAATATGTTGGGATTACCGGCATGAGCCACCGCGCCCAGGCCGTAGTAACAGTTTTCAATCTGTGGTTAAATGAGGCTGACCTGTTGTGTACAAGTCTCACCTATAATTTTTGTTGGCGTATAGTGTGGTCTCATTTAAGTCCTGCCCATGTTTTCCCGGCAGTCTTAGAGTCAGTTCTGGTAGGCTGGAAACCCACATGATATAAAGGCATATGACCAAGGCCGCCAGGCACATTTCACTGGCCCCTGAAAGCTGGAAGCAACTGAGCATCTTTGCCTAATTTATTGAGGGAAATAAACTGAGAGGGGAAACGAGAGCCAGTGTCACCCAACAGAGCTGGGACTGGAACCCGGGTCTGCCTGCTAGTATGTATCAGGCCCCTCCCAACTTCAAGTGTAGGGAGAACTAGTATTTGAGCTGAGGTCAGTGAGGCTTGCTCTTTCCATCACATCTCTGCCCCGTGGTAGATGTTCTAACCATGGACTGCAAGTCAGGGTTGCCAGAGTGTGTGAATGAGCGCAGCTCTTTGTGGTGGGTGGTTTTACACTCTGGGTAAATCTCATTGGCATTCAGTAGTTCCAGACTATTCTGGCCTTGACTTCCCTTTTGACCTTCAAATAGGTGGGCACTGGAACAGGAAAGTACCAAGGAAGAAATGAGCCCAGAAACTGACATCCCTTTGTGGCACACACTCATTCTCACTCGGTGCCAGGCCCCTCTCCTGCTGTATTGTTCCCCTTCATTTCCTGTCCCCTCTCCCACTCCTTCCTAGCCGTGAAGAACTGCTCAAATGTGTTACATATACATTTTTGGACTTTTTTTCTTTTTTTTTTTTTTGAAACCTAGTCTCACTCTGTGCCCCCAGCTAGAGTGCAGTGGCGCAGTCTCGGCTCACTGCAACCTCCGCCTCCTGGGTTCAAGCAATTCTCCTGCCTCAGCCTCCCGAGTAGCTGGGATTACAGGTGCATGCCACCACGTCTGGCTAATTTTTGTATTTTTAGTAGAGACGGGGTTTCGCCATCTTGGCCTGGCTGGTCTAGAACTCCTGACCTCAGGTGATCCGCCTCCCAAAGTGCTGGGATTACAGGCGTGAGCCACTGTGCCTGGCCTCATTTTTGGATAGTTCTATATTCTTATATTATTGGTGTTGCATTTATGTTACATAAATGTAAAATACATTTATATTTACCTAAATGTAAAATACGTTTATATTTACATAAATACATTTGTGTATATGTAATGTATTTATGTAAATGTATTGTAAATACATAAAATACATTTATATTTACATAAAATATCTCTAGACATTGTTGTACATTTTTTACTCAGTAGTATCCTTTCTACGATCTAGCCATGTGACTGAGTATGCGTCTCATTCATTGATTTTTACCTACTCCACGGCATCCCATGCTCTGTGTCCTCACGTTTGACTGCTTTGGTCCTTTAGTGATGGACACGTGGCTGGACTGCTACCCCAGCCAGTGCTGGCATGAACCTCCGAAGATCCCCTGTGGATCTCTGCAGCCTCCGAGCTACAGTCCCAGAAGGAAGCACACTGTGCCATGGGTAGTTAATTTCTTTTATTTTTTTTTTTTTTGAGAGACAGAGTCTTACTCTGTCACCCAAGCTGGAGTACAGTGGCACCATCTTGGCTCACTGCAACCTCTGCCTCCTGAGTGCAAGTGATTCTCCTGCCTCACCCTCCTGAGTAGCTGGGACTACAGGCATGCACCACCATGCCGGGCTAATTTTTGTATTTTTAGTAGAGGCGGGTTTTCACCATGTTGGCCAAGCTGGTCTTGAACTCCTGGCCTCAAGAGATCCTCCTGCCTCCGCCTCCCGAAGTGCTGGGACTACAGGCGTGAGCCACTGCACCCAGCCATCAGTTAATTTCATTAAGGGCCAGATTGCCTTCCAGTGTGGCATATAGGTTTATACATCTACTAGTGGTGCATACATAATAAGGTTTGCTGTTTCTCCACATTCTCACCAATATGGACATCTTAATTTTTGCCAATCTGATAGGTGTAAACTGGTGTTTTATTTTGCATTTCTCAGAATATTGGCGATGTGGATTATCATTTTAGGGACTCATTAGCCATTTCAGTTTCCCCTCTTGTGGCTGCCTGTATTCTTTGCTTTTTTTTTTTTTTTTTTTTTTTTTTTTTGAGACAGGGTCTC